CGGGAGCCCGCGGCCTCGGCGGGAGGTGAAGTGTGCGGGGCCTGTTCCCTCCTCTCGGCAGGGCACCAGCGAGAAGCTGTGCCGGGCCCAGCAGGAGCTGCACTTCCAGGCTGCCACCTACCTCTGCCTGCTCCGCAGCGTGCGGGAGCACACGGCCCTTCACCAGGAGTACCACGGCAGAGGGGAGCGCTCGCCTGAGGAGGTCGCCGGCCTGGTGGGCTTCAGGTTGCCTCAGCAGCCGGGAGGGAAGGGTTAAGATGATGGTGTTATGTTCCCTATTTATTCCTGAATAAACATCCTAGGCTATGGAAACGGCGTGGGTTTTCTACTTTGTGTTTACTGTCGATTTTACGTTGTGGGTACGGTGTGAAAGAGCCGTAACCAAGAATCCTTCTCTCGGTTTGTCACGCGTCCCTGACACACCGCTTCAGCCTGGACGTGTGGCGTGACTGGCAGCCTCCACGGAATGAGAGGAAGGTTGCTTGTAGTGGAAAAATATGACAGCCTTCACTGCTAAACTGTTTTCTCTGAGGGATTGCAAGGGTTGTTGGCTCCCCCCTCAAAATCTGTAGGTAAGAGAATTTGTCTGTTTACTGTAGGGTTTTCCAGCCATGTTCGGGGGGGGGGGGAATTTTCTGCTCTCCCAAGAGCGAAGGCCATTTCTTTGGAACATTAGTGGATTCTGGTGAGCTCTGCAGTAGGAGACAAACCTCTTTCATCTGGAAGATTTTTTTCTTTTTTTTTTCACTTCATGGTGGTGAGCTAGTGAATACTACTTAACGAATTACCTGTTTTTCAGTGTCTCTTGAGCAGTTGACTCTGCGACTGAAGGTAACTAATTACTGCCAGTTACACTAAATACACAAATCCAGCTGTCATTTTCTTGCTTGTCTTGCAGTCTGGAAAAGCAAGTTTCTTTCTATAAGAAAAGAAACACTGGCTTGAATTGTTGCTGCCCTCTTCTCAGAAGAGGGTTGAATTATATGCAAGATGTGTAAGAAGTCTGTAATAAGGATGACTTATAATGGCTAAAAATACAAGGCTTGTTTATGGGCGGGAGGAGCTATAACAAGCAAGGATAACAAAAGAGTGCTTTGTTTTTTATTACTACCAGGGAAAACAAGTATTCTGTCAGAAAAGGGCTACTAAAATGATCCAAGGGCTGGAGCACCTCTCTTATGAGGACAGGCTGAGAGAGTTGGGCTTGTTCAGCCTGGAGAAGAGAAGGCTGCGGGGAGACCTGATTGCGGCCTTTCAGTACTTAAGGGGGCCTACAGGAAAGATGGGGACAATCTTTTTAGTAGGGCCAGCTGTGACAGGACAAGGGGTAATGGTTTAAACTAAAACAGGGTAAGTTTAGACTGGATATAAGGAAGAAATTCTTTACAATAAGTGAAACACTGGAACAGGTTGCCCAGGGAGGTGGTGGAGGCCCCATCCCTGGAAACATCCAAGGCCAGGTTGGATGGGGCTCTGAGCAACCTGGTCTGGCTAAAGGTGTCCCTGCTCGCTACAGGGGGGTTGGGCTAGATGACCTCTAGGGGTCCCTTCCAACCCAAAGCATTCTATGATTCTATGAGAAGCTTCACAAATAGAATTATTTCATCTAAATCTATATATTCTCCTTCCCCTGTATTTAAAACTCGGGGATGGTCTAATCCCCAAAGTGTAATGGGTAGGCACAATATATCCTCAAAACTGGGGAGATTTGGGCTACTTAGGTGTAAGGTAAGGACATGAGAACTACAAGTTTTAAGGTTGTGTAGATCAAAGATCCAATCTGCAATGCTTGCAGCATCTCACCAGTTAAACAGGGGTGTTTTTTTGGAAAAGCGTTGGTATCGCAGATGGGAAAGTACCATCGATCTGTTTGCAGCTCGGTAGGTGAAAGCCATGGGAAGTCGCCACACCCTGAGAATGGCCGTGGCGTATTTGTTGTTCTGAGTTACTTCACGCGGCTGTTGCGTCCTGCAATTTACTTTCCAGATGGACGAGAGGTTCGCTCCTTCCAAAGCCTGTAGTGTATTGCTCTGGAAGAAAAGCAAATGGCTTGCTGCTGAAACCGGTTCTGGAAGAAAAGCTGAAATTTGGCCCGAGATAGATGCTCTTTAAAGAGTACCTAGAGCTGAAAGTTGTACAGTGTGGGTACAAATAATAGCTAAAATTTCTCAATTTCCCCTAAACACACCAAGGTGCTAAGTAGAGAAAATTTTAATCAGTATCTGTGTCTCTTCCAGTTACCACCACCCCCCCTTCACTTCAATCCAAAGTAATGCAATGACAAACAAAAGTAAATTTATATGTTAATAGAAAAAAACAAAGCCGGGATGCGTTCTGAATAGCTGAGGAGCACTGGGGAGGGAATCTGTGCCTTAACGTGTGATAGGAGCCTCCCGTCCGAGCATCGCGTCCTCTCTGCAAGTCCTCGTGACAGTCAGAAAATCGGGGGTGGGTTTGTTAAGGGCTTTTTATCTTGCCTTTTCTCGCTGCTATTAAGCTAACCTTGAAAGCTGAACGCGACCCTGGTTGTGGAGGGTTAGAATCGATCCCTGTGACGGGCACTGGCGGCTTTGGGGCACTAGGTGGCAACACGGTGGTTAAGAAAGGGGCTGGTCACAAAATGCCGGGGTTGGGGTAGACAGGAACCGTGCGAATGCCCTTTCTGGGACTGGCCCTCGGTGCTCTGCGGCTTGAGCTCGCTGCAGCACGGAACGGCAGCTTCAGCTGTAAGGGAGCTTCTCCGGAAAGCGGGAATTACGGTCGCCTTCCTCGCGCACGCAACCGTAACTGCACTTGACAGCTTGAGAAGAGCGACGGCGCCGTTAAAACCGTGCCGAATGTCAGTCAAATAAAGGGAATGGTCTTTAAGAAGCAGTGCTCCGTCAGCGCTAGCTCGGACGTAGGTACCTATTCACGCCCGCGCCTACCTAGCCCGGACGCATGTAACTCGCTCCTGTCACTGGGTGGGCGTCCCGGCGGAGACGGGCCTGTCCCGGGGATGCGTAAGCGGGGCCAGGCTGCCGGGCCGACAGAGGCGCCCGTTACGCAGCCCAGGATTCCCTCCGGCTTGGCAGGAACTTCAGCCCAGCCACGTGCTTGGGCACGTTAGAACCAATCGCCATGAAACTGTTCCGGTTGGGTTTCCCCTCGAGAGAGAGGCAAGATCCCGGGACGCGCGCCCGCCGGACCGGGCGCTGCCCAGCTTCCGCTTCCCGG